GGTTTCAGAACACACCATCTGTCTTGGAAGTGTTGGCTGTGTGTGATCTCCTTGATACCGATGTCATTGGGCTGGTAGAGTTTGCTGGCCATGGGTTGCAGTTTGACTGCTTGGTCTACGTCGCACAAAGACCTAAACTTGTCTTGTGCTGTTAGTAGAAAATTTGGTTATCTAGGTAGAAGGTGGATGTATTCATTCCTGTGACAATGAATTTGTGTTAGTTTTACTATGTAGCTGAATTGCCTGTGTTTTCAGATAACCGGAGTCCTCTGAAAAACTTTACTTTTGTGTTTAAAACCAAACTTGTGTAAAACCAGACCTTGGTTTTATACAGATGCATTTCCTGTTTTTTGTGCTCTCATTCCTGTCCCCATTCTCCCTTCCCTTTTCCCCTTCTGCATATGTTTTACTGGTCTGGTGTTGTCTCTAACTTTATCTGGTTTCTGTCTCAGCAGTAGAGTAAATTCTATTACCCTGATAGTACAATGGTGGATATAATATAAACTTCAGAGGATTCTCCAGGGACTAAGAGTGAACCAGTCACCAAAGGTGTCTTGGAACTGTTAAGAATGACAGTGATAGAGCTGAAAAAGCAAGGGGCCAATTTCTGGTTTAATGTAATTACGTTTTAACCTTCTTATTGCAGTGGACTGTAATAGACCATTAATTGACATAAAGTTTATTTTTGTGTTAATTAAGAACTGAAGACCTCAGTGTCACAGTTTAGAAGGAAGGCTTACCTGAGACTTGTGTTGTTTCATCTCCACTCTTTTGTAAAACTAAATATCCAGCTCTAATAGTACCTAAGTAAATAAAAATATCTGCATGGTTCTACAATCTTAAAAAAAAAAAAAGAAAAAAAAATGATGCTGACCTTTCCAGAAGACGGGAAGTATGCACGTGGCAAGAGGCTAATTTACCTTTCTATTTCCCAAATTCAGCATGTCCCAAAATACCATACAGCAAGGAGACAGGCCCTTCTTTCTACTTTGCCAGTGAGTTGGGTTTTTTGTACTAATTTTGATTGTACAGAAAAGCACTTTCTAAAGAACAGATGTTAAAGGAATGGGACGTGTTGAGGGAACAAGTTTCCTTGCACCAAACCAGTATGTGGCAAATGCAGGAAGGTTCCTTTCCGTGGACAGGGGAATGAAGCTGTTGAACAGATTTGTATGACCACGGGAAGCTGATTTGTCAGTCTTTTAAAATGTATTTTGCATGCTGAATAATCTCTAACTTTACTACCTAGTCTTTTCATCTGCAACCAGAAGTGAGCGCTGCATGTGGATAGCCTCTGCTTAAAACCCAAGTGAACTGCCTCACTCCCTTTCTTTCATGGCCCAAATGGGATTTTAAAACTTGGCAAGTTAATCTGCTTCCTAAAAGGAGAAGTATCTTGTGCCTCATCTCTTTAAAAAGTTGTGGCTCAAGTTCTGAGCCCCTGGGAGGAAATAACCTGAGTTGCAGCTGAGGTGAAGGAAGCTTTCTATAGAGTTACTTCAGTGTCGCTGAAGGAGTGCAGTTAGCATTATTATAAAGAGAGTGACTAGATGAGGGCTCCTTGCTGGTCTGTAGCATCGGATGCTTCCTCCTTGGCAGATGAACATTATCAGTTATGTTACCTGGCTCCGGTGCTCCTGTGTGGTGTTGCCTGAGCTGGTGACCTGCATCAGTATAGGCAATGGGAGAGGGGGCTGATGTTCTCCGTACTCTCAGAACACAACAGCTAATACAGACTTCAGTTGCGTGCGTGTACAGGGAGAAGCGAATAACTAAAAAATACTGCCTTGTATGTTGGTGTTCATAGCACTTAGAGGAAGCTGTTTTGGGGGGGAAGTAGGGTGGTTGCAGGATGAACTGTAGTTGTCACCCCAGACATGGGAAAGGAGGACTGCAGTTCAGGGTATTTTCGAACATGCTCCTGTCCTGCAGTGAGTCTTGTTGCCCTGTGTGTCTGCAAGTCCATGCAGCCTATGTCAGGCACTCTTCTGGGTTTTTTTGAGTTAGCTCATGCAAGAGGGATGTGAGAAATACCACTTGTTCTCCAAAAATCTCTTCTGGAACAGACCTCCTGTGTTTCTTGTACAGAAATGGTTCTGCTTTAACTAGTGTTGTAGGATGCTGACCTGTCCTGTTTTCATGCGTCTTGGTTTGGTGCACTGAAACAACTTTAATAAGCTCGTTCCTTTCGTGGATAATCTTTTAAGTGAAGTCCACTCTACCTGTGTAAAATGACTTCTTTAAATGTTTGTATTATGAAAGAAACATTTGCTATTTCTTTGCTTCCTACCATTCAGGTCTTTTAAATGTAGTTATCCTCACCATCTTACTGGGTCTGGCAATAGTTTTTAAGTTTGTTCACTGGTCAGTTCTTGAAAATAGGCTCTTCAGTGCATCTTTGGACGATGACCAACGGTGACCACCATTGGCAGCATTAAAATTCCTGCCAGGGAAAATATGAAATTACATTATATGATTTTTGCATATACCCTTGTAGCTGGGAGTTGCGCTTGCTTTCTGCTGCTCTGACCTCTTTTGATTTCAGCTCCTTCTGTGGGTTCGGTGGCTGACTACTACTTGTTTACCTCTCAGAAAAATGGGTTGCACTTCTGTAGAGTTGAATTCAGTAATTCAATCCATCTGGTATTTTTGCTCACTTCATTACTGAATCACTTATCTTCACTGTGTATTCCTGCAAGGTTAGTGCAGTTAAATATTGCATGTTAGGAAACAACTTGATGAAAAAGATGCTGAAGTGAAGCAGGTTAGCCCAGAGAGTGTTTCTTGGGGAGGGAGAGGAATGTAAGGCTTAAAGGGTGAGAAAAACAGTGTATTTCTGCTGGTATGAGCTGAGGTTACTTGCAGCAAGGAGATACGCAGAGCTGTTTTGTCCTTTCCTAGAGCTTTCTCAGCACTTTTTTTTGGATAGTAGATGGCCACTTGGAAAATCTCCAAAGTACTGACAATGGGGGAAAATGTTGAATAATTGGCGATATTCCCCCCCCACCCCCAACTTACCTTGTTTGCTGTTTGATACGTGTAGTGAGCTGTTTTGATGAACAGGCAAAAATTCTTGAAAAAAGTCACAGTGAAAGTGCTTTAGTTATGGCTAAACAGGTGAATTTCTCATGTCTGTTTTGCAAGACTTCTTTCACAGGCTTGCTGGTCTCATAGATTTCATTGGTTTGTCAGGAGCTATTAATTGCACTAGCTAAACATGGAAAACGTTTTACATTTCTAGAGTTGAAGTTTGAACTCTGGGTTTGAACTAACAAAGATCTGTGCACGTATTTCAGACTTGCTGCCACTCGTCCTGAACCATTCTTGATTTGTATGCAGTATCTGTACAGGATTTGGATACGGGTCCACATAACATTTTTTGAAAGACACTTTTAATATTACTATTAAAATATAATTTGCAGCAGCATCTGAACTAGTTTTAACCAAACTTGTGGAACTTATTAGAGTAATTTGTTAAAGACAAAATGGGGTAGAGTAGAAGCAAGGCAAATAAAAATTCTTCCATATAAAAAATCTGGTACTTTAAATGCAAAGCTATGGATAAAAGATATTAGAAGGTTATGGAAGAGCTGCTACTATGACAAAAACTTGATCCTCCCCCTCGCTTCTGTATCTGTTCTTTAGGGTACTATTCCTCGGTTTAACTGGTTTCTTAAGAGAGAAATTCTTCATTGTGATGTTTCATTGTATAATGTATCTGCTTCAGAATAACTTAGTTTATTATTCTCTCAGCTATAGAGAAATGAAAGATGAATTGCACAAATGGTTTAAGGGAGTACCACATTATTTCAGGGGCTCTTAACAAGTAATGTGGCAGGATGTGGGAAGCCTTGAATATCTTACAACTTGGAATTAATTTTCATATACATTTTAAAACCTTTTGAATGGAGTTGAAGTTAATTTGTAGTCAGGCGTGCCAGCCCTGTGGCTGAGGCAGTGGGATGAGAGCTGAGGAAGACTTCTGGTAGCATGCCCTTTGGCAAACAAGTCAGTCCCTCTATGCATTTATTTCTATTACTTTGACAGAGATAATAACTTCTGGCCTTCTTCAGAGTGTTGTATAATAATGAGGTTGAGAAATTTTCCTACTGTAGGAGACCATAAACTTAATACTGTAAAAATGATTGGTGTTTCCATTGATAATTTTCATGTAGTCCTTGTAAGAAGGAGAAGCGGTTGAAAGTCAAATAGAAGCATGGTTGAGATGCTGTTGCAAAAAAAATTTTTGTAGTGATATGAAAAAAAAAGACTTTTCTTGCATTTGAAACCATAACAAAGTGCTATGGCAGAAGATACTGGTAGTTTTGCCAGTGTGTGTAGGAAATATCGAGGTGTTTTCAAAACCCCCTCTCAATCAGAAATGCTCACGGTGTATGAGTATGCTTGTACACTCGTGCTTAAGTACGCTTACATGCTTATGCGTGTTCGGATCAACTCAAACTGCAAGAATTTAGGGTTACAAACATATATGAAGTTCATCTGCATTAATAGCCTGAAACTGTAGTGCACATCACTGTTGGACCATTTGCTCAGTGAAGATTTAATAAAGCTTTCAAGACAGCAGGGCGCAGGATTAAGTTAAATGTGGTAGGCAGTTATTTTATAAAGGAGAGACCTTCATAGTGGCCTGTAGAGGGGAGAAAAATCTCAATTAGGCAAAAAAGATACTGTCTATATGTATTCTAGTGAGTTTGAATATTTTAGAACTGGAATTTGTAAGCTTTATAGCAAACCAAACTGGAGGAAAACAAGTACTTGCACAGGGTAGTAGTGTGTCAGGGCTGGTTAATAGAGCACAGTGGGGTTGCTGTCCTTTTGAGACCTGCTTTTGCTGAACAGTATTGTGCTTTCAGATGCAGCTACATTTTTGTCTGTTTTCGCCACCCATCTTGTCTTTTCATCCTTTATATACACTCAAGCAGTTCTGTGTATTCATGAACTTAGAGCCCAGCACTCTAAGAGCGGAGTGAAGCTCTTCAGAAGCTGCAGCAAACAGTTACTTGCGAAAGTGAGATGACACACCTCGCTAGTCGTGAATACACGGGGCAGGTGGTTGCAGCATAACAAGTTGCACTCCAAGTTTCTCCGTGTGCCCTGCTTTTCAGGTTTGTTTACTAGGGCAAGAAAACACCACCAGAAAACCCATCGCTGTTAAAGGTATGCTGCAGACAGGCACTTCATTGGCCATCAAGTTCTCATGTAATACAAACCCCATTTTAAAAAAGTGTAACCCGACATATAGTAAGCAGTAATTAACTTGTCAGAATGACAAAAAGGTACCAGAACAAATAAGGAACAGTTGCAGGGAACAGATTCAGGAGCAGGTTGATAGTTTGCTTTGACTGTTTGTCTTTTAGCACTATTGTCAGCAAAACTAGCCTCGGTCTTGACAAGCTGTAATATTGGAGAGAGTAGTGCGCGTTGTCATGTGCAGAAGTGTAGTTGCAAACTGTGGACTGGTTGTTGCACAAGTTCTAAAAGCAATAGAGGGGAATAGGCAAAGCATCTTCATTTTCTTAGGGTCTTGCTTTCGGGTTGCATGCTTTGTGTTTAAAGGAAGACTTGCTATCATTATGGCTTTTTATACTTTCTTAGATTCCCTCAGAAGTAAAAAAAAAAAAACCAAAACCAAAAAAACCCAAACTATTTCGTGTGGCCTGTTTTGAAGCAGAACAGGGCAGGACTCCTCAAGGAGGGACTTGTTGATAGTTTGTTGTTGGTATGGCTGTAGCAACAGATGTGGTTTCACTGGTGTGAAAGTTTTATGTTGTTAAATTTTTTCCTTTTTTGGAATTTCATACCTTATTTGCTACTGTTTCAAGGAATTAAGAATTTCATGGCAGTGTTGAGAAGCTCGCAGAATGGTGGTGATCCAGAAAAGACTCCCTTGAGGGGAGAGGAAAGATATGTTATTGTAGTACAAGATTTTTGCTTCAGCAAAAATTTGATGCTCAAGCAGCCTCAGTTTTCTCAGCTGTTACGTATATACTGTGTGTCCCTATAGCTCTTAAGCATACATGCAGTGTATATACTTTACACTGACTGTACTGTGAGCAATTTCCAGAAGAGTAGCATGGTGAGGTTAGCCAGGTATAAGGCCAAAGAATTTTTTGGATGGTGGAAATAAAAATGGCTTGTAACACCTTTCAAAAGTATATTTCAGGAAAAACTAAATTGTATGAAAATGATAAATTTGATATTTTAAACTGGTCTGTTTGACAAAACAAAAGATGAAATACTGCTTTTTTCTATGTAGTATCTGTTACATTGTCAAACTAGGGAAGATGAACTGTCTAATTATGGTTATTTATAGACTTTCCTGCAAAACCAAACTACACAAAAGCAAGGTAAGATACTCAGCTATTTGCAAGATAAATATTTTTTTTAGAAGGGGGAGGGAATATATTTACAGTATGTTTGAGATATAGTGAAATCTTCAAGTGCAGATGGTGACTTGATGAGATAGATGCATGTTCTGTATCTATTGTTAAATATTCTTCTTTTTCATCCTAGTTTCCACTGGCTCACTTGCTCAGCAGTATGCCCACCCTAATGCTACCCTGCATCCGCATCCTCCGCATCCTCAGCCTTCTGCCACACCAACTGGCCAGCAGCAAAGCCAACATGCTGGAAGCCACCCTGCTCCTAGCCCCGTGCAGGTAACAGAACTCAAGGGAGTGAATGCCTTTAAATTGTATTTAATACACTCTACTGGAAGGTATTGCATCAGTCTGATGCTTGACATCGATACATTGATCTCTTTGAGAGGAAAAATGGTAAGATGGAGCAGTTGCCCAAACGAACTGCATGTGGCAGATCTCATACAGGAGTTTTCTAGATTCCCCTCTGTTTTCTGGAAGGAAGGAAGGAAGGAAGTAGAGCTATATAACAATTTTTTCTCTGCTTGCAGTGGCTAGGACTCAAAGGTGGTAGGCTCATGACATAGTTTGTTAGATAAGCTAGCAGGGAAGCTTGTGGCAGTCCCTTTTCCTCAGTAAGGACCGATATCAGAGTCCAACCATTCATTTCCTCCTCTTCACAGAGGATGAGGTATAGCTTGTTTCCATGTTACAATTAAGGAAAGATCATAATTTTGTCAGAGCTTTAATATGAGTGAAGTTACAACTGGAAATAGCTGATAAGTGCTGAGAAGCGTTTGATTGTATTTTGTCAAAGACAAGCAGCTGAAAACAAAATAGGCCTCATGATAGTGTTCCATGCCTTAGTTACCTACTGGTAACAACTTCTGGCTGCTAAGTGCAACTATGAAGTATATCCAGCCCCATGGTTGCAGGGTCTCCTTGTTTTTACCTGTCAGTCTAGGTTCCATTTTCCAGGCTCCTGCTGACATGACTTTCTAGTGCAAGGAGAAAATGAGCCTGATAGAATTGAAATGAGTTTCCTCATGACCATAGGTGTGGTGATCCTTAGATTTGCCACTTAAGATTCACTATCGAGAGCAGTTTTGCAAACCTTTCTTACACTAGTTTACAGAATAAACATGTCTCGCTTCTAGACCATAACCTAAATGATCTTTATCTTTTTTTACAGCATCATCAGCACCAGGCTGCTCAGGCACTCCACCTGGCAAACCCACAACAGCAGTCGGCAATTTACCACGCAGGTCTAGCTCCAACCCCACCTTCCATGACGCCAGGCTCCAATACGCAGTCTCCACAAAATAGTTTTCCTACAGCACAACAAACAGTCTTCACCATTCATCCCTCCCATGTTCAACCTGCATATACCAATCCGCCACACATGGCCCATGTCCCCCAGGTAAACACAGTTTAACAACCTTCAAGACTAAATGTCTTAATGCCACAAAGTTAGGACAGTCGGGCCTGCTGAAGTGATTTCCATTCTGTCACCTCTCGGCACAGACTATGTGTTGTGTTATTTAGGTTTCTGTCTGTACATTGCCTTTATTTAGAATTTTACAAGATATTTGGACCTCAGCTTCCAACACCCAATGCATCTACAACTGTAGTTTAATGAAGACATCTTAAGGTGGCACTGCTACTGAAAGAAATTGAGCTCTCTTCCCAGTTCCCGGCTCCCATCCTTGTCCTCCCCCTCCATTCTGCTCACAGAACTGTTTGGCCATGCAGCAAACCAGACTGGGGACATGATTCAGCTGAAGTGTGCCTCCTGTATCCCCGTGTTAGGCTATTTCTCAGTCAAATCAGTTCACTACTCAGGTTCACTGCATGATCACAGGAAGAGCTGGCATACAGAAAGGTTGGAGGTGAGAGCTGAGTGGAGGAAGGCTGAATTGCTGCTTTTGGTGGCAGTTTAGGCTCTGCGTTGTAGTCAAATTTATACAAGTACATCCAATAAAGGATATTACACAGGATTACTAGGGAGTAGTAAGGCACTGCAATGGGAGATAGGTGAGATTCAATTCAGATGACTGCGAGACAATCCTTGCTGAAAGAAAACCGTGTGTGTGTGTGTGTGCGCGCGTGCATCTGTGTGTGGTTCTAAATGAACTGCGTACGCAGGAGATCCCTGATGATTGTTGGGCAACTTAACAACAGTCCTTGCTTCAGGATCAGAAACCCACTTCTCTTAACTGCTCTCTTGGGGTCAACTCACTGAGAAAAGGATTTTGGGAAGGGAAGCACATGACTGATTAATCAAGAGCTCTGCATAACGCAGCGTTACAAAGATTTTCTCATGTTTACTAAATCTCATGGATTTAGTGTGCTTTGTCAAGGAAGGGACAATTAATCAGTAATTTGCCTGCACAATTTCTTCTGCAGACCAAGTACCTGGTGTCTGGCTTATGCCTTCTCATACAGGTTAGCAATAGTTTGGGATATCATGACTAACTGTAATTAGGGAGGTTAGTCTAGTAGGTTTCCAGTCCCTTGCAGAATTCTGATAAAATCTTTGCTTTGGTCCCTGGGACAGTCAGTTAAGCCAATGAATTAATAGTTACTTAGGAATTGTTTTACTGATGTTGAGTTTTTAGCTTTTTAATTCTGTTAGGCTTTTAATTTCTCTGCTTCTGTACTGTGGGAGGATAAGGAGAGGATGTCCAAACTTGACTATTGCTGTGGCATCTTGCCATGTCCTCCCAGGCTCCGGTTTCTGCCAGAAACAAGATACTTGCTCCGCTCTGGTGTGATGGCAGTGGTGTGAATGCCTAAGTTGTAGAGCTTCTCGAGGTGCCTTGCATGCACCCCTTCGGAAGGGTCTTGCTGCAAGCTCCTGGGTTAGTGGCATGTTCAGTGCCGTGCCTTGAAACATGAAACATGTTTGTTTCAAGGTCAGCTTAAAGGTAAAACCATACATGAATTGTGCTGTACACGTCATGGCCAGGCCCATGCCTGCGCTATAGGATGCGACCATTGCCTTCCTTTCTGTGTGCCGAGCACTTAATAAGCAAACCTCACTAAAGCAAATTGGATGCAACTTTTAGTCAGAACTGACTGCTCTGTCAGGATTTTTTAGCAATCGCAGGCAAAGACTGCCTTACCCTTGATTTTTGACTTACGCAGTCTCTTCTGCTGTAATTTTAGCATGAAAACTACAATCTGTAATCCATTATATTTATACCAAACTAACTGACTTTTCAAAATGAAGTAGTTCCCTCAAAAATCTCTAATGAAGGAATAACTACAGTTCTGTAAGAAATTTTAAATGCATGTAATTATTCCATTGTGGGGAAACTAATGACTGGATTTTACAGTTTCTTAGCAGCCTCATTTCCACCTTCTGAACACAATTCTGAAATACCATGTAGTAGGAATTTCAGTTAGGCTAACACAGGAGATCAATTGAATTTCCCTTTAGGTTATCAGATGAATCTTGAGCTGTTAGATATCTCATTTGAGAAACAGTACTTTAAAATTCATTACAGAGTACTGTCAGCTGCCAATTTGCAAAGCATTTGAGCCACAGCAGAAAATTTTTATCCAATGTGTGTATTGAATACAGCTGCTGTATGAATAGCTGCTTTATAATGATAGCTGCTCTAATAGCATGTTTGTCAAAGTAAAAATGGTGCTGATCCTGAAAGGTATTTCTATTTCACAGCCTTATCTTCTAAGCCTTTTTTAGAGCAAGAGTGAGATTTGAATTGCAGTTCCTGGGCTTCTTGAGTGCTACTAATACAGTGCAAGTCTGATAAAGAGTTTGAGAAATGTCTGTGATGAGTCAAGTAACCCTTTTGTCTTTAAGAAATAAAATTGTAGCCACTACCTGCTATCTGCCTTTACTGGCATGTGAAACTTGCGAGGCTGCAATTATTGCACCGTAGTGCTCTGTTAATGGGATATGGTAGAAGGACAAAGCAAACCTTAGATACAAATGCTTTTTTTTTTTCCCCCCAAGAGAAACCCACTGAGAGCTCTAAGAGTTCCTTAATGTTTTGTGCTTTTAAGAAACTAGTGTTCACTAGCTTTTTAAACCAAAAAATTGATGACCTCCAGAGTCATGAACTGCTCTGAGCTAAAGAAGCCAACTGACAAGTTACTGAACTTGTTTGCCAGAAGGTGATCAGCCATCATAAAGATTAATCTCCTTTTTCCACTGAGACTTAGCTATGATTGCTTAGATTACATAAGGACCTGCACTGTGATGAGCTTAACTGGAAACAGAACAAAGCTGACCTGACAGTATAAAGGGATGAAATCGCTCATCTTAGAATGACTGCTTAGATGAATGATAATGTGGGCACAGGTCACTGGAGAGAGTGGTTTCTAGGGCAGGGAGCCATGAAATAATGTGTAGTTGTGTAACGAGCAGCTGAGGAAGGGATGCCAGACTCCCAGTACGTGTGAAGTTTCTATCTGTACCCGGTGCGTTCTCTGCATAGGAAGTGCTTTGATCTAGGTTACTAACAGTAATGTTTTGAAGATTTGTTGCTGAGGTTTTTTTTTTTTTTAAATATCCCACTGTTTAATGCTGGCAGTTTCTCCCAGTGCTTGCTGTCCAAATGGCTAAAATTGAGAATGTGACTCAGAGCCAGCAGTAAGGATTTGAGCCTTTTTTTGTTTGTTTGTTTTTTAGTTATTATTTTTGTGTTAAGATCTCTGACTTAATCCCTATAGCTAATCTAGTTAAAATGGAGTAAATCTCTGGATTTACTGGTACAGCTGGAGAAAACTTGATAGTCATGTGGCCAGGAGTGATGCCTCCTTGTGACCATTATACTAAAGAGCTCTTTGTTTCAGGCTCATGTACAGTCAGGAATGGTTCCTTCTCACCCAACTGCCCATGCTCCAATGATGCTAATGACGACACAGCCACCTGGTGGTCCCCAAGCCGCCATCGCTCAAAGTGCACTACAGCCCATTCCAGTCTCGACAACAACACATTTCCCCTATATGACGCACCCTTCAGGTGAGGAGTGTGTGCCTGGGAGACCTGCACCTTAACTGAGCCAGGTCGTAGCTGTGAGGAGAACTGTTATGAACCAGATTTGGGGAAAAGAACAGAAAAAAAACCTTAAGATGTCCTTATAGAGTGGCAGGCTGCTGAAGGCAGACTGTTTCTGCATTTAGCATTTATACTTTGCCAGCCCAAATGCGAGCCTAGACAAACGTACAAGATTTAGCTAATTTAGCAAAGACTTTGCTTCTCTCTAGCTGAAGTAGAGAAATGGATAACTATGCAGACACTGGCACTGTGGGACTGTTCTTCCAGGTTTTGCCGTGGTTTTGCCGTGGGGGATGGACTGTCTGTGTAGCCTGTTTATAATGATCTGGGGTTTTATTAAATTTAAAGTGATCCGTCTTGAGGATAGGAGTGAAAATGTTGCTTGGGGGTAGGGCTGTTAGACTTCTAATAACTGAAGTAAAGTGATAATTGAAGTCTAATCTTTAATTCAGAGTTACATTCTGCAGCTTTACTTTTTGGCAAAAGTAGGTGCTGTATGACTTCTTTCTGCTTTAAATTTAACCTTACCTAGGTTTCTTTATTATTCATTTCCGAACGGCCTCTAAACTTTTGTAGTGAACTAGTTACCTGATTTTGTTTCTTGGGGAATGTGTGAGCAGAACAAGGCTGCTTTCTGAGGATTTAGGTAGGGAAAAAAACATCCAAAGGACATCTTGATATGTAGGGTTTTGTTCTGTTCATTAAAAAAAAAGAAAAAAAAAAAAGGAAAGAAAGAGAAAAAGAAAAAAAAATTAAAAGTTCAGCTCAGTAGTTGTCCTGTGACCACTTTACTAGCAAACTGTTGTGTGGCTTGCCAATTTATTATTTACATTTGAACTTTTTTTTTACAGTACAAGCCCACCACCAACAGCAGTTGTAAGGCTCTTCTGGAATAACTGAAAGGCTGGATACCTTTTGTAGGCCAAATACCCTCCTTCTACTGCTTCTGCCAACTGGAAGCACAGAAAACTAGAATTTCATTTTATTTTGTTTAAAAAAAAAAAAAATTGATTTCTTGTAACATCCACTAGGAATGCTAACAGTTCATCTTGCAGTGGGAGAGATTCGGACTGAGTAGAGGCATTTAGGAACTTGTGGGCTATTCCATAATTCCATGCACTGTATCTGAGTCCTGCAAGTGCCCCAACTCTGCTTGCTGAAAACTGGAAGTTATTTATTTTTTAATGACCCTTCAAAGTTATGAACTCATCAGCTAGCAAAAGAAGTAACAAGAGTGATTCTTGCTGCTATTATCACTAAAAATCAAGACTTGGAGATCCCTTTTACTTCTAACTAAACTTGAAACAGGTTCAGTAAAAAAAAAAATTCTAATCGTCAAACTGATGAATTATTATTTATAAATCACGTTTGATGAGATAATCACTATCGTGAGACAGTGATGTAACTTTTAAGTTAAGAAAACTTTTACTTTGTAGATAATATAAAATAAAAACTTAAAAAAAAAATAAAAAATAAAAAAAGTTTTAAAAACTGACCTACTTGGCGTTTGTGTCTTGTTTTACCAGTATCTTACTTTAATGTGTTCTCCAGCTTTCGATCCAAATTGGAGTGAATGTTTTATTTAGCGTCAGGTAAGCTTTGCGTGTGCTGCTGCCGTATCGTGTGTGTGCGCGCCCCCGCCATGAAACCGAACCGGTCGTATTTGACTTGCAGGGCCATTGCAAAAATAAATCAAAGGTTTCAAGATCCGAAGTTTGGTACAGGTTTTAAAGAATTTCTTGCGCTCGGGTCTGTTCCCTAATGCCTCAGCCTTACACTGTTCTGGCTGGTGTCAAGAAGATGTCACAACTGGGCCTGGAGGCTTAAGATGGTAAAACTATACAAGACATGGTGCTGCTGGAGAAAGAAAGGAAGAAATCGGGGTAAGCATTCCTTAGCAAAATGACTGGTAAAAAGATGGGGAAAAGGATAGGAGGAAGCAATTGAGTACCACCTCCTTCAGGAATGCGCAACTAGTTATCGTTGCTTACAAAGTGCTGGGGTCTTCCTAACCGCCCTGTATGGTATCCCTATCCTGCGATGGCTAACCGAAAGGTGACGCTGGATTAGACACTAGTTGCACTTCAGAGGCAGGACAAGTGAGCTGTTGGATGTACAACCTTTCGTGGGCAGCAGTTACATCCCATTGTGGCTTGGTGAAAAACATACAGGGGAACACAAATACTGCTGCAGCTCCTGTCTTAATCCTTCCAGGTCAGCAGTGCAGTAAAACATAATGAATTCATGTTCAGGTGGGCAGCAGGGGGCATGAGACCGTCGCAGACAGTGATGGTGACTTGGGGCAGGACTCCTTGAATGAGTCTTCTGAGAAGGAAGAGCTTGTCACATAGGCTATCGCCTTTCTTTTCATTTCTGAGGGAGGGTTTCTGTCTTTAGCAGCCGTTAATTCAGTATCTGTTAAAATAGTATCCAGGGACCTAGAGAGAATCAGACTAAAGACTAAAAGTGAGAAACAAGTTCTATAAACAGTTTATTAAGAGCAGATTTTTTTATATTATGGTAAAATTGCATTATTCAAGAATAAGTTACTTGTACAGTACATACAGAAACAACATATAGAAAAACCTACTATACAAGAAGAAATGTGCAGGTGAAAAGTAGAATTTTCAGATCAATGCACTTTTCATCCAACAAACTGTTGGCCTTAATCATCCTGCTAAAGGCTGAGTTAGAGAATGCACAGTCGCGTCCCCCACCGCTGGTAGCTGCTGGTGAAGGTTGGGTCTGTTCGCATCGAAGAAGCTTAAATTAAAATTGGGAATACTCAAACCTGTTAGTCAAGATTTCAAGGCTTTATACGCTTGTTAGAGTAAAACTGCATTGGTCGGATAACAGCAGTGTTCTGTGGTCCGGAGGCTGTAAGAAATGAGAAGCTTTGGTCTCCCCGGACCTGGACATCTTCCTAGAAGCTTTGCCCAAAAATAGTTTTGATGCAAAAACCATCGGTGAGGCAATGGGGCTTGTCAGTGGTAACCTGCTCTGGATTGCTGGTGCTGTTCCTCAGGGCTAGGATGCAGGAGGGAGGGATGGATGAAGAGATTAAATCATCCTTCATGTCATGAACTTCTTCAGAACCTGTCACCATAAGGACATGCAAAAGCCACCGATAGGGAGGCTCTGTCAGCAAACAGCAAGTGGTTTCTGAAGCGTAAGATGGCGATGAGGGGAAGTTCTGGCTGGACCCAAGTCTTAGGTTATGCCCTAAGACAAGTCCCTGCTGTCATAGAGAGCGAAGGCACTGCCTGTTTTACATCTTTATTGCCAAAAACAAGTGTCCTGAGTAGCTGGCTGAAATGGGGCTTCCCTCCCTAACAGCCCTTTCCTTGGGGGGGCTGCGGGAGTGGTCATCGGGCAAAGGCTCCAGCCAAAGGCACGAGAGGCGCTGCCAGTTGGGTCGTGGCTTTGTTACGTTGGATCCAAACTCATGTTGCATGTGCCCACCTCCAGGACAGGCGCAAGCCGAGACCTTGGCGATCACATCCAACTTTATTTCAGCTCTAGGAAACGCTCTTTCTCCTCCGTGGGAGCCCAGGAGGCGGCTGTACCTGCAGCACGCAGCCCTGCAGGGGCTCTTCCCTCAGCTTCCCCTCCTCCCAAAACTCAATGCTGATAGTTCATAAAGGCTGATAAAAGCCCACGTGGGCTGGGGAACTAAACCTGCGAAGTCCTAGGCTCTTTTCCCAAGTTTAGAAGAGTATAAAAATTCCTCCAGGTTGCTTATCATCATATAAAGGAATGGCTTAATGGCCTTTGCCCTCTGCTATAATAGAGGAGGACCTTACAGGCTGGATTAATGTGTGCTGGCAGGAGCAGAGGTAGGGCTGAGTGTCAGGCTCTGACCTGTGTCGTGAGCCAGATGCTTTCTAGGAGAAATGGGATTTTGAACTCAGCCTTCCAGGAGCTGGGGAAATAGCCCAAAAAACCCCTCGAGTCCCACCCAGTGCAGCTGGGGTTTGGACCACAGCGGGTCCGAGCTGCGGCAGAGCAGAGGACTAAGGTGGAGGGATGGTGGAGCTGGGTGGCTGGACAGCCCTTGGCTACCTTGTTGGTGAGGTCTGAGATGGAAATAACTCTACTAAATAATCAGAGCGACTTTCCCAATGTTCACTACTGGGGAGAACGGGAGTTCACATCCACCGGAGTTTGTTTGCACAGGGGAAGTGGCTGATGGGGTGATAATGAACTCAACATATATTTTGCTAATCAAGCACAGCAATTTCCATTTAAACTACGGAGAAACCCCTTGCAATTAAACTGCAGGTTAAAAATACCACATGCGTGTGCATGTTTAGTTGTTGGCGCTCGAACAATAAGCCCCGGCGCGCCAAAACAACCCATCCCAGCAGCATCAGCATCTGATTTTTCTGGCAAGGGCTGCGCCGGCTGTGAACAGCAATCCCTTTTCCCAGCCCATTCTTTGTTGCAGATGCTCTGAGTGTAGGGTCATTCGGGTGAGACCACCTCAGCTTTTGGGGAAAGATCCCTTTGAATGTGGCTGCCTGGAGCTCAGCAGGACTAAAATCACCTCTGTGAACCTTAGCAAGATTTAGCATGTGCAAGTATTTTCCAAGGCGTGCATGCTCCGGGAACCATGCACCAAGCAGGCAAAGGAGCCAGTAACTTGTGCTATGCTTCCTCCCCTTCCCTTTTTCATCCCTCTAAATGCAAGACCATGGGGAGTTATTTATCAGCAATGAAGGGAGCTGACTTGCCTGGCACAAACCAGCCCTGGCTATATGCTCCTGCCATTCGGTACAGCCTTTGTGCTGGTCCGGGGAGGAAAACGGGATGCGGATACGGCCGAGAAGCTCCAGGCAGGGACAGGGCTGCCTTTGTTTCTCCGGCAGCCTCGCCGGGTTTGGCAGTCCTGGAGGTGTGACTGGCCAGTGCGAATTGCTCCGGTTTCAAGAATGAGTGTGTGACAGTGTGTGCTGAGCGCTGGGAAACGCTGATCCCTGCCGAAATACAGGATTGCTCCCCGTGCACCCCTTTTCAAGTTGTTTTAAACAGAGGAAGGGGAAAAAAAAAGACCTTACCTGCTCTGAATGGACAAAGACAGCCCAGGAGAGAGCTGGGGCAAGAGATGGGGAGGCACAAAATGCAAAGCCTAAATGTTTTCTCAGGTCGATGGTATTCAGTTTCTCCCAGCCCTCATCTTTTGACTACTACGTATAAAACCAGATTTGCTCTCACGGCCAGTCCCTGGCCAGCATTTGGCCCCGGCTGTTTGGGCCCTGCCTGGTCCTGGCCCCTGCCTGCACTATATCTGCCCTTTCTGGCCCAGCCCAGCACAACAGCACCACGATCTTGCCCTTCAATTCCTGACCTTGAGCACAGCTTGGCTCCTCAGGCTTTGACTGCCAACCGGGCTCACCACGCGCTGGCTTAACGGCAAAGCCCTGCCTAGAGGCTGGATTTTTGGAAAACTCCCTAACTCGGCGCCATGAGGCTTTTTGTTTGCTTGCTTTCAAATTAAATCCTAAATGTTAATGCTCCTGAGGGCTCCCACCTCAAGGATGAAAAAAATAAAATACAGGCGTCCCTGTAAGGCAATTTGAAGGTAAGTTTTGCATCCGAAATCCCGGGGAACGCCACGTGGGCTGCACTGAGAAATCTGGAAGTTGAATGCTGCGAACATCCCCTCCCACGTGTCGCAACAGCTTCAGCCCCTTCCTTATTCTTAAAATAATGACAGCTTCTAAGAAGCAGTTCCTGTCTTGGAGTGGCCGCACCGGCT